AATGATCATAATCAAAACTTCAGACCAACTCTGTGATTTGTTTGTAGAGTTTATGTCCTAAAAATAAAAAAGTTGTTTAACAAACTATCATTAAAATATTGACACAGTTCACTATTTGTTACGAGGGAGGAGTGCAGAGAAAGGGACAGCCAGGTGTGCGAGAAAGGATGGAGACGGCACAGCACAGGTTAATGAATCAATAACTTTGTCGGCACTTGTGCACGTGCTTCACTAACACCTGGCTGTCCTTTTCTCTGCACTCCTCCCTCGTAACAAATAGTGAACTGTGTCAATATTTTAATGATAGTTTGTTAAACAACTTTTATAATTTTAGGACATAAACTCTACAAACAAATCACAGAGTTAGTCTGATGTTTTGATTATGATCAGCATTTCATTGATTATTATATGTTTACTAGTTTTCGAGTTAGATTGCAATTCATTGGTCCGCTTTTGAGCAAAACTCACTATACAAATCAACCTAAACTACATAAACATCAACATGCTAAGTAAAAAACAGGCACTGTAGGCACATGCTGTGGTTGACTTAAATACTTCACCGGGAAGATAAACTGACAATATTATTAAAATACAGATAACAAAAGCGAAATATTAAAGGTCACATGCAACGTAAAACACAACTTCGCAGATTCTGATACCTTTCGGTATGGACTAACCGAAACAAATCGTCAAAAATGCAAATTCAACTTATAAAGTTAAAAAATAACGCGATGAAAAAAAACACGCGAAATCGGAGTTCAAACGTTTCACTAATTTTCCCCCGACTTTTCTGGGGAAAACGGGTTTCAACAGCTGGGCTGCGCTCATAGCACGTGCGCAGTGAAATAGGTTCGCACAGCTTGGAAGCGGGTTGTCGGGTGAATACTCGGTGAAGGCTTTGGTGTGAGCTATTTTTCTAATGTTTTGTTGATATCTCACAGGCGCGAGCTTTTTATATGTTATGACAGTAAATTAACTGTTTATATAATTTCATTTGTCTATTTCACCACACGTTCTTCTTACCGAGTCACTTTCTCAGTTCGATACTTAAAAGCAATGTCATTATTTAGCGTTGTACAGAATTTCTAACTGTGATATAGATATGTCGTTGTCACAACAAAACTCAATGTCTTGTTTTATTGACACCTGTGTGTCTGCCTGCCTGTCTGACAATATTCAGTACACAGCTGCTATCACTGACCACATGCAATTTGAACTTAACACCAAGCAGGCTATACACAATAAACAAAATGCATTGATTTATGGCCCGAGTTCGGTCTCTGTCACATTATGTAATTACACAGACAGGCAGGTGTGATACTTGAACACATGACATGTTATGATGTCTGTTGATTGCAAAATGTTATACACAAAAAATGAGCATGTATTTACAAAACCCAACATCTCTATATATACACACACAATGAGCTGTGAAGGCATCTGCAAATGAACCAGCCGTTACACTTGAGTGCACACCCACCCGCTCTGACTGGGTTCGGTATCCCGGCTGCTTCGTTTCTTGGGAAGTAAACCGAAGTACACAATTTTGCACTTTTGATTTGCGATTGTACGCTTATAATTTTGTTTATATGTTTTTTCATTACCAGCAATGTATATTATATGTCATGAATAAGTGATAATTGTGTTTTAATTATGTTTGATTTTTTGGTTGCATGTGACCTTTAAACATTAAAAGCTTAACTAGATAAGAGTATACAGATGAGCTTGATGTAAAGATAAACCCTGGCAACCCGTTCACATCTCGTTCATGATGTAAACAATGAAATGACAATTTACAGAGCCAGAAAAAAAATATACCCAATGCAGCCCATGCAAGTCTAGACTATCACAGTTCTGAAAATGAAAAGGTCTCTGGGCTTCTTTTGATATTTTAGGAACAAACTTAAGGAACTGTTTTTTTCGGTGTCCTCACATAAGAACTACATCCCATAAAAACTACAGCTTAAACAACACATGATATGCTACGTCTAGATCCGCTTAATGGATTTGCCCAAGAGAAAACAAATAAAATATACATGTATAACACTTTTGCTGCGGCAGTTCATGTTGGTTTTGACAGGAAATAGTTTGCCTTCACAACATATAAATTTGCAGTCTTCAGTTATGATTGAACAAGTTCCACATCAAGGTGTTTGACATTTTGTTACACTGACTGATAAACCTTTTTTTCATGGTATCACTTGTATACAAAATTGGAAGATTTGCTTTTATAATGGGCATAATTGTACAGTTATTAGGATTGTAGGTACAAAGAAATGGAAGAATGTCCATCTCTGTATTTGTTTCTTTTGTTTTCATAAGAGTCTCTCTTGGGACTTTTACTGCTTTATGAACAGCATTAACAACTCCCTAAGAAGATATGTGTTATTTATCTATAACATATTACCTATTGTCACCAACTGTAACGTCATATTCATCATGATGACATAGCTACTACCGTTACGTGTCGCCTATGCCCTTCTCTCTTGTCCTTTACTTTCTGGTTATTAGATTACCATTACAACAACATAATTACTGGTCAATAGGATTTTTTAAGCATGTAGTTCTTCTGGGAGAGCTGATGGGCTGTGCTCATTACATGCCATGGGGATTCCTTTACTCAGATAATTAATCCCTAATAATCCATGTAGTTAATTTGGGATGTAGTTCAAATGGGATGTAGTTCTTATGTGAGTAAACCTACACTAACATCTAGTTTCTGAAATACATACTCTGCAGAAAAAAAGGTTTACTCCCATAAGAACTACATTTGTGACGACATTATAACACTGTTGTACACACACATACAGTCAAACACTAGCTTTCACATGGCATTCTAGTCAATATTTGTTAACTGCTCGATATCTGTCCACAGTTGGACACAACACTCCTATCACAATGTGTATGTAACACTCAGGCATATTCCAAGGCAAATGACTTAACTGACTATACAAGTCCAGTTTCCACACTTACTGATGTAGGCCGTTCCAAACTATGTCCTTTCTATGAGTATCCCACCTATAATTTTTTCTGCATTTGCTTCAACCAAAATGTTCATGCCCCGTTAAGAAAATCGATATATCGATATTCGAGATTTCTATTGTAATAAAACCGGTTTATCTCACAAAGAGCATCAATTTATTTGAGCGCCTTGAAAACATAAATGGATTTGGAAGCATATTTGTCAATGTCCAGTTTACTGTACAAATAATTTGCAAATCCTGCAATTGACCATAATCTACAGGGCGGTTTACAAACTACTTCAATACATGATTTGACTGTGTTATTTGAATGAGAAATGCCCTCTCCAATACCTTTGTGATACCAGTTGCCAGGTTATTGACAGTTCACCACACTTACTCAAGCTTACTGGCACCTCCCCCAAAACCATGACTCTCGAGAGCTTGGGGAAGAGATGTTTAACACTTTCCATCCCTGGACCGTACTCAAAAACAACATCCAAAGAAACTGGAGCTTCCATTCATCTTTACAAATGGCTTTAGAAAAGCTCGACTACTTTTTCCAATACTTGACGCTGTCCAGAGTAATTTCAAGAGGCACCTGTATAACATACTGTTAAGTGACACCAAATTAATGAGATTGCCAACCCCTGGCCTAATATTCTTCAAGAAAAACCAAATCCTTACACAACAACACCAAGTCACTCCATGTTGTGGTATGGGGTGACTGAAGTTGGACTGAATAATTTCATTTGCTTTCTCAACAACTGCTTGAAATGAAATCTAAAGCAGGAGATTCCATCAGCACAAATCCAATGAGATAGGTGACAAGTGAAGATTGTACAAGTTCCAAGTGGTGGGACATGAGGTACTGCAAAGCTATAATTGTAACTGGATGTGTTATGTACTCACCAGGACTTGTTTTGCTATACCAGATATGTCCACTATGAAGGTGAGAAGAATTTTGTCATTACATTATCTCATCAAGGACGATGTACATGATTGGTAACTGTCCTGCTTGCATGATAGACTTAGGTAAACAAAATAGTGAGTGAGTATGGTTTTACACTCCTTTTAGCAATATTCCAGCAATATCACGGCGTGGGACACCAGAAATAGGCTTCACATATTGTACCCATGTGGGGAATCGAACCCGGGTCTTCAGCATGACGAGCAGATGCTATAAACAAAAAAAACATGGCTGATGTGGAACTTGGTACGATGCACTTTCTCAACTAGTGTTAGATCACACTGCTAATTGTGAGGTTTGTTGAAGAGGTCATTGTTTCCAGTCACGGGCAGTAAACCTGACATAACAATATAATCTAAAATGTCCACATATTTGCCAGACATGCACCATGACCCTTTACATGCCGCAAGTCACGTCATCCAACATTTGTCACTCACATCAAGAGATACTATACATCCTGACTCCAGCGTATCTTTAAGAGATCGAAAGTTTCATTTATTCACCAGTGTTTTCGCCAATGGGAAACCTGGATTATATAATTCCAGTTAAGTTTCACTCTGACATCACATTCTGCTGACAATCGGGTCATCTTGTATATCAGGTGTTTGCTACAAGGGAGATAATCAACCGAGACCTTGCACATCGGGTTGTAAACGTAGTATATTCAGCTGATCATCTGCTGATCATTGAGACACACATGGATGTCACACTGTTTCTGCTTCCCACAGAATATGTACTCTCACGGCACTGCCACCATTCTTTACTTGTCGAGTGGGATATTGATCCACAATCCGTGTATGGCATCTATGTGGTTTGATGCCATATAGAATGGCATTGCCTCCCTCAGCTTATAGTTAAGTCATCCAGATAATACACTAAGCCAGTACATAGTTGGAGTGAGTGAGTGAGTTTAGTTTTACGCCGCACTCAGCAATATCCCAGCTATATGGCGGCGGTCTGTAAATAATCGAGTCTGGACCAGACAATCCAGTGATCAACAGCACGAGCATCGATCTGCGCAATTGGGAACCGATGACATGTGTCAACCAAGTCAGCGAAACTGACCACCCGATCCCGTTAGTCGCTTCTTACGACAAGCATAGTCGCCTTTTATGGCAAGCACATGGGTTGCTGAAGACCTATTCTATCCCGGATCTTCACGGGTCGTACATAGTTGGAACTGAAAGAGCAGACAGCGAAGGAGATTACACTGGTGAGGGTATCAGTGACTGGTGTCCATTTTGTAAACCTCTTCCTGGTTTAGGATCTTTGTCTTTAATGAATGGTTGTTTCACTTCAGTCTCGTCTTCATACATGCAGTCCTCAGTGGCAGCATCAGATAGAGAAATATCCACCTGTTTAGGATCTGTCTGGGAACTGTCTGAATATGCCATATCCACCTGAAGACTGTTAAACTTGTTTTCTGTTGGCATGGTACCCTGGAAATATAATGTGTGTATATTCAGTGTCATTTTCCTCGATACAGAGGGAATTAAAATTTATGTTTCTTCAGCTGTATTCCAGTCATACAGTACCAAAGTCATAAAAATGGTCAGATCCCCCTTTTAATTTATGGCTAAAAATTTAGCCCATCAGCATTATGTTATAATTGCCTGAAACATCTCCACTTCAAACATACATTGTATATCATTTTGAATTTAACAAATAGAAACAACTGCCTTCACCAATATCATATTTGATCTAAGTCTCTTCAACTGCAATACAACCTAGTCCTGTCACCCTCAGATAAGCCTTTCCAGTTCAATGAAGTCACTTCTGGCTCAAGAATATATATTTCCAACACCAGAAAACTTTTCAAGAGAAACCGTGATAACAGTTTAATGAAATCACTTAAAATTTGCAACAAAAAATGCATGGAATTTGCATGCACTTCGAACTAAATGAAGTGACTTTAATTTTCACAAAATGGCATGATGAATTATTTCTAGTTTTAAATGTTGGTACGAGCATTCCAATGTTCCAACGACCTTGATTTACTATTAATTTTATTGGAACTATACCCCTTCAGTGCCTCACGTTAGGCATATACCAGACTACATCCTTCTATAATGAACACTTCTGAGTTAATGTGAAGATGGCAACTGCCTTTACAAGTGACCTTTACTGTGACCTTGATCTTACACGTGTGTTATTAATGACCTTTTTATACTTACAAACTATCTGCAAAAATAGGTATTTAAGTGAACATTTTAATTTGGTGAGACATGGACTTCAATATGACCTTGACACTTGACATGAAATGTATCCACAATATTTTTCAGTAAAAATGTTCTTTAAAACCTTATTCTACCAACAACCTGAATCTGATGTTAACCGTGCCCTATGGTAGACATGTCCCAAGTAAATCTGTCAAATGTGGTGGTGAACACACCTCTGTTAAGGCCATGACCTTTATAATGACTTTGACACTTTACATGAAATGAATTCAAACATAACAACCATATGCACAAGACTTACAAAATATATGCAGAAAAAGGCATTAAAGACTTCTCATATAGACCATCACTAACTAGTCCGATAGTCACATCATTCAATAGCTGTTTGCATTCAATTCACCGTGTAATGGTGCCTGGTCTGATACTCACGTTTTGTTCGACAATAGCACCTTGTGTACCCACGATAACATTTTTCGCATTTATGGTCAGACCTGAAACATTCAAGAGTACACAGATGCATGGTAATGCCTGTAGCCCACAGGTGGAAGCTGGTATGCTCCATCTATTCTATCCTTCATTTTTTGTGAACGGGCTCATGATGTTAAAAGAAAGCAAAGTTATGCAAATAACTGAACAAGTATTCATCCATATGATCTATGTGCCATCATTCAAAAGTTAGACTGACTTAGATAAAGTCTCCACTCAACATCTGGAGATCAGGAAACATACATGTTTTCTACATTTGCTACGAAATAGCTCTGGAAAATGTAAAGAATACCTTACAACCGAGCAGTAAAGAATATCTGTCCCTCTGGAACTCCTTGCCAAGATTCAGAGCTCAGACTTATTTTTAAACTAATATATGATTAAAAATAACTCTAAGATGCAAAAATATACTTTTCTGAAAACTAATTATCTTTAAGAGTGAGCAGAAGAGAGGAAAGAGAATGGGTTTAAGCCACGTTCAGCAACACTCTACCAATAACACCAGCATGGCTTTACACACTGTGCCAATGTGGGAGACTGAATCAAGCACTGAAAAAAAACACTTGAACAACTTGGCGACTCCACCAGAAGTGGGAGAAGATTGTATAATAAGTTTGTCCAGTGGGTAAGGATGTCCAAACAGTATCTACAACTATTGTAGTGGCAGCCTATCTCAAGTCTGGTGTCATATCAAACAAACGTCAAGTAATTGCCATATTGTAGTATCTCCCTACACCAGTTGGGTGCTACATCTTTGTGAGGGCTGCTACCACATCATCAGTAATTATAACTCTCTTAAGGTAGCCAAATGCCTTGTCATCAAATTAGTGATGCACGTGAATGGATTAACAAGATTCGCGCTGTCCCTATCTGGATATGGTAGCACACATTCAAATTCATTCCAACTGGCCCTATAAAAAAAAACACTATACAGTCATTCTCAGTTAAGTTGTACAAATGCTGTCGGACTGGTTACAGTCCCTATTATCCTTAAAGTGAAACTGATTTTCATGTGAAATCGACAGTATTCTATAGTCAAATGTAATAGAAGTTTATGGTAAACTACAATAGTCACAAACATTTGAGAAAATATTTGAAACTGACTGTTCCTTTACAGTTGGTTATTTATTGTGCTGTCGGTGATAGATATTGCCATCAATGATTCTCTTCTAGATAATATTCCAAAGACAAGTCAACCTTGTAAACCAGCATAATAAAATTTCAAAGTGAGTTTTTATATTTAAGATAATAAAAACCATGGATGAGTAAGAAACAGAAAGACGTAACGTAATTTACTTTATGGTAACTGATGTACATAACATTTACTATTTACAAACAAGTTAAACAAGTAAAATGAGTTGTATGCCAAGCAGAGAACAACATTGTTTTCAAACATATGTCAACTGATTGTAGTGTCTTAGATGAATAACGGACTGGGGATTGGAATTAAAGGTTTAATCGTTGAGGAGTACAAGCGACGCCATAGTCAGGCCAGTCCCAGATACCATTGCGTGGGGAGCGGTCCATTACTTCCGCTGTTGAAGGGAGGCGTCATTGTCGAGTTGTATAACACTGAGTGCTACAGACTACGTGATATTACATTCCTGTCCGTTTAAGATTTAAAATCAATTAATGCCAATATAAGTGAACTTATGAAATTACAGTCCTTCATCAAAACTCAATGATGATAAAGTTCACCTTACTGAAAAATGGATAAGGAAGGACTAGAGTAAGATGACTAGAACTGTCTGAACATCTAACAGTAATACTGAACTTTAAACGTGAAAAGACACTTTAGAGTCTCTGAATAGGTCACAGGTTGATCACAGGTCTGAGGAGGTCGGGTGTGTCGGCCAGATTTTCTCACTGGCTGGATCGCTGTGACCTTCGGCTCGGTGGCAGATACTGGTGTCATGTTGTCAACGCCTGTTGACAATGTTGGAGTGGACGGAATCACAGGATGAGAACAGGCGGGTGTTGGAGTGTTTTCAATCTTAGGGTTCCTGAATCCCTGCGGCATGACGTCGCAGAGAGCTGATGGTGGCAGTGCTTCTGCTTGTCTACCCTTAACGTGGTCGAGATGTCGGCGTACCATGCGTCCGTCTAGCAGTTGATGACGCACATGGACTGCTTTCTGCTCACTAGGTGCCCAGGTATCCATGGAGCACCTTTTCCGAAATTGGTGATGTAGACTGTGTCGCCTTCTTCTACCGACTTAGTGCGTTTGTTTGAGTCGAGCTGCTCTTTTTGTCTGGCTTGTATCTTCTGTACCTTCAAAACTTCATCAGGGTGACATAGATCCAGATGTGTCCTCAGTTTTCCGTTGAACATCAGTTCTGCAGGTGATTTACCTGTTGTCGTGTTGGGCGTAGATCTATAGTGGAACAAGAATTTGGATACCCGAGATTGCAGGGATTGTCCTGAGGTCTTCTTCAAGTAGTCCTTTAATGTCTGAACTGCACGTTCAGCCAACCCATTCGACGAAGGATGGTACGGCGGAGAGAACAGTTGCTCTATCCCGTTGTTGCTTAGGAACAAACGGAACTCACTGCTAGTGAACGATGTCCCGTTGTCCGAGACTATGGTTGCAGGTTACCCACATGTCGCTACTATGAACCAGAATGAAGCAATGGCAGAAGTTGTTTCACAGGGGCCTGTAGTGACGGCAATGTCTGATGACAAGGGTGTGTCCAGTACAACACACGAACCAGTGATTGTAAAGCTACCCCCTTTCAGGAGGGTGAAGACAGGGCCAGCAAGAACAAGAAAGCGGATCAGCAGAGCAGTGTCTAAAGCCCGAAGAAACATTAACAACTTGTCACAGCAAAATTTGAATTTAAAGCGGCGGATTAAAACTTTTGAAAAGCGTTATGAGCGACTGCAAAAGAAGATAAAAACTCCAACTAACATCGAGCCGAGTCCTGGTAAAATGGTTGATACTGAAATGCGACAAGCTGGTATAAGTCCTATGAAGAGTCCTAAGATCAGGAAAAAACTAATCTTGGGAAAATGTCTCACAGAAGAAATTGCTGCTGCAAACAAAACAAATTCTTCTCGTTTGCAGTGACTTGTGGCCCGAGTTGCATCAGGTAAAATTATCAGAAAGTACCGCATGACAATGACTTTGTCAAAGAGCACCAGTATGGATCGAAGACGTCTTATGACATCACATTCTAAACTCCTGAATATTGATCAATCCCGAAGGATGAGAATAGCAAGGCTTCAGTTACAACGCCAGGTCACTTCATTTCTGGAGAGGGAGGACAACTCTAGACTAATGCCAGAAAAAGCAGACGCTGTTAAGGGTGAGATGAAGGGTCAGAAAGTTCAGAAATATGTCCTCAGTGACTATCTCATAAACCTCCATCTCAAGTTCCAGTCGGAGTACACTCATGTTAAGCTGTCTTTTGCATCATTTTGCAAGATGAGACCAAAGCATGTAGCATTAGTCAACTTTGCTGCACGTGTAACAAGTCTCTGCATCAGACATCATAACTTTGCCCTAAATTTAAAATCCTTAAAAGCTCCACATCTGACCACAATTACAAGTCCAGACAAGTTTGTTGAAACTTATAGTGAAGCTAACTGATATGCTCACTGGCCTTGATGATGATATCACTACAGTGACCATTAAGGAACGGAGGAAAGTAACACCAGAGGGCGGAAAGCAGAGAATGAAGATAATTGATGTACACATCCCAAAAGCGGAATTTCTACCCCAAATGAAACAACACTTCATAGAAGTTACAGAACATGTTAAACGGGTGAAGAACCAGTTTAAGGAGTTCCGAAACATGAAAGATAACCTTCATCAGCAACATGTTTTGGGCCAGATGGACTTCGCTGAAAATTACAGTTGTCAGAGTATGGAGGAGGTACAATCCGCCTATTGGAATCAGGAAATGGTCACTCTACACCCTGCTGTTATCTACTACCGGGATGACAATGGAGAACTGCAGCACAAGAGCAATGTTTATGTCTCTTCTGTCTTACAACACAACTTTTCAATGGTATTTGCTATCCTCCAAAAACTCATTGAAGATGTAAAATCTATTTGCCAAAATGTCACTCATGTGCATTACTGGACCGATTCGCCTACGTCTCAGTACAGAAACAGAAGTGCATTTGATATCATAGCTCATCATCAGACTCTCTTTGGATGCATAGGATCATGGCAGTATTTTGAGTCCGGCATGGTAAAGGTGCTTGTGATGGGATTGGAGGTGCAGCCAAACAAATGGCAGACAATGATGTCAACATACAAAAAAACTAACATTCAGAGTGCCTACGACTTCTACCAGTGGTCAAAGTCAACTTCAAGTAAGATCTCATATTTCTACATAGAAAGAGATGAATTTGACCTGGCAACTAAGCTTGTTCAATCCCGACAGAAAGATGTAAATCCAGTCAAGGGGACATTGAAGCTTCACTCTGTCTCAAGTGTTCCTAATAGCCCAGGTAACCTGATGACACGAGAAATGACGTGTACGTGTTTGGAATGTTGAGGTGTTGGGATTTAAGGTCAGCACAGCCTGTGAATGGAATGTTCAGCCTCTCTTCAAGACACAGAAGATGCAGAGATCTACACAAGCATCAAACGGAGAGTCTGATTCAGGATCTAATGCGACAGTAGTGACCAAAAATAGGAATGGCGAGATGATACCTGAGTCAGTTCAAGCTCTTGACAAACATGTCGCCGCGGCTAATGCAGTGCCAGTTCAGGCACACAAGGATAAAGCTCTGTCCGTTGATGATTACGTCTGTGCTCTGTATGAAGGTGAATCATATATTGGTGCAGTCACCAACATAGATAACGAGGACAATGAGGTATTCATCACATTCATGGAACAAGCATCCAAGCAACTTAGCACATACAAGTGGCCAAGAAAAGCTGACGAGATATGGGTGGAACGACACAACAAAAATCCAGTGCCAACGGGTAAAAGCCGTAGAATGTTCAAGCTGAGTGCCACTGATGAACAAACTATTCGCAAGTGTGTTGATA